GAAGTATACCAGATGAGATCAAGTCAGATGTATCCCTGTTCGCTGATGATGTAACACTAATGAGAATGCAAACGGATCCGGATAAACTGCAAGACTGGTCAGACAAATGGTTGCTTAAATTTATCCCCAGCAAATATAAGGTTATGGATACTGGGAAAGAGGCCAGATGACCGGACACAGAGTACAGATTAGGGGAGAGAGACTGCAGACAGAGAAAGACCTAGGGAATAAGCATAGTGTTTGGCATATCGCCAGGGATTACATCAGCCGAATAACTTCTGCAACCAATGCTCATCTGGCAAGTCTAAAAGTGGTCTTCAGAAATCACAACAATCACTCAGAACCATTAATACAACATATGCCAGGCCCATCTTAAAGTGTGCAGCACCGAATGGAACCCACACCTGATTTTTTTTTTTTTAGAAATTGGAGAAAGTAGAGAATTATGCAACAAGGTTTGTTCCAGGGCTATGCGTCACGAGGCACGAGGAGCTAACGAAACTAAATCTAAAGATATTGGAGGACAGAAGAATCAGGGAAGACATGATAAAACACACAAAATACTCAAGTGGAAATTGATAAAGTGAAAAAGGGTATTAGTGGGCACAACTGGAAGTTAAAAGGCAGATGAGCTACAAGGATGTCAGATAGCACTTCTTCGATATCAGAGTGGTTGGGAAATGGAATGATTTCTATGAATAAGGGGAGGTAGGCTCCTTGCACTTTTGAAAGAGATACTAAAGAGCCCACGAGGCTAAGAGAGAGTGAATCTGGCAAGCTGAGAGGCGGGGGCCAAAAGCCGACTCCACCTCTGCAACCACACACAGCTGAGTGCAAATTGACGAGACGTACGTAAGTACACACACACCACACACACACACACACACCACACAGTGGAAGAGGCGGGGCCAGCTGTCACTCGACCCCTGTAACCACAATTAGGTGAGTACACCCAGTAAATAAAATGGGCACCAGGACAGAGGGATGAAGCCCTGAAGGGTTTTTACGGGTGGGTACGAAAAAGTTATCGTCAAATACATATACCTGGAGGGTATTCCGGGGATCAACGCCCCCGCGGCCCGGTCCACGACCAGGCCTCCCGGTGGATCAGGGCCTGATCAACCAGGCTGTTACTGCTGGCCGCACGTAGTCCAACGTACGAACCTCAGCCCGCACCGACTTTAGTATCTGTCCAGCTCCCTCTTGACGGCAGCCAGGAGTCCTACTACCCTTATGGCTGGTGGAAGGCTGCTGAACAGTCTTGGGCCCCGGACAATTATGCGTTTTTCTCTTAGTGTACCAATGGCGCTCCAACTTTTCACTGGGGGTATTTTGCATCGCCTGCCAAGTCTTTTGCTTTCGTAAGGAGTGATTTCTGTGTGCAGATTCGGGACCAACCCTTATAGGATTTTCCAAAAATAACAAAAAAGGCACAATACCGTGACTGGAACGATACACAAATAACCCGCACATAAAAGAGAGAAGCTTACGACGACGTTTCGGTCCGACTTGGACCATTGACAAAGTCACACTAACCAGAAGTGGAGCAGGACGGCTATATATAGGCAGGAAGAGGTGGTGGTGGTGGTAGTAGTAGTATAGTAGTAGTAGTAGTCGTACAAGAATGGTATGTAATACCGACAAGATGAAATTAAGACATATGCGCAACCCCGGGCATCGCTATCGTAGACGTTTCGCCATCCAACCAGCCACTGGATGGCGAAACGTCCACAACAAAGACAACCAGACGCCGCACATGTGTTCTTAACTTCATCAGCAACTGTGATCCTCAGTCCTTCCAGCAGAAATTTCCACTTTTCATAATTCTTTTTTCCTGTCTTGGCTACCCTTCCCATTTCATAGACTCTGCCCTCTCACGTGCCAAAAGCAATTTCTTCTCTCCCAAACTCTTTTACTCCTGGGAACTCTTCTATCCTCTGCCTTCCCACATTTCCGGTCTTTCTAATCTCAACAATTCTCTCCGTCCCTTAGACATCAAGTTTAAACCTTCCGCCAGACTAACACTCTTCGCACTAATCTCGTTCATACCTCTCCTCCCTCTACAGATGTTCCTGGTGTCTACTCTATTTCTTGCTCCTCCTGTCCCCTTCAATACTTCGGAGAAACTGGTCGATCTCTTTCTGACAGACTTTGGAGCACAAAAATAGTGTTAGGCTTGCCGACACTAACAATGCTCTTTTCTGTCACGTCAGAGATCATAGCCATCCTATTGACTGGTCGTTGCTAAACTGTCTTCCCTACTTCCCAAATCGAACAGTCGCCGTCTAGTGAATCCTCTCTAATACACACCTTTCCCTTTTTATGAATCCCGAGTCCTGGCTTCGTCTCTGTAGATTTCCTTCCTCTCCCACTACATTGTTTAAAATGCTCCAAACTTCAGAACACCCGTGACTTACCCTGAAATCCTCACTTTTTCTTTTTCTTTTTCTTCTCCCTCTTTCCCTTTCCTCTTTCCTTTTCTCCTCTGGGTTGTCTTTTCTCTCTTCTGTCTCGTGTTTCTGTTCCTTCTTCATTTATTTCACCACTTTCCTTTCACGCACCTCTGTGTGCTTGCTCTTTCCCCCTGGGGCACCTAGCTCTCTTGCAGTGCTCCCCTTCCTTTGTATTTGACTGGCTCGTCCTCCTTATTTCCCACTTCTACCACTACCACTACCCCTTCTACTATTACTACTACAACTACTGATGAAATTAAGACACATGTGCGGCGTCCGGTTGTCTTTGTTGTGGGCGTTTCGCCATCCATGGCTGGCTGGATGGCCCAAACGTCTACGATAGGGATGCCGGGGTTGCGCATGTGTCCTTAATTTCATCTTGTCCGGTATAAATTTCAATTCTTGTACTACTACCCACCACCCTCTTTCCTGCCTTTTATATAGCCGTCCTGCTCCACTTCTGGTTAGTGTGACTTTGTCAATGGTCCCAAATCGGACGAAACGTCGTCGTAAGCTTCTCTCTTTTATGTGCGGGTTATTTGTGTAGGATTTTCCAAGTGTAGATTGTGATATCTCTTTCTTGCCTGCGTTCCATCGAGTACAAGTGCTTCCAAGGGTTCCAGTAGTTTGATAGAACTTATATGGTGCAGTAAATGTTCTCTGTACACTCTCTAGATCTCAATTTCAATTTTGTTTTTAAAGGGAAAAGTTATGTAACAAGAAATTTAAACCCCTAGAAAACAAGTGTTTTAAAAAAAATTTCATCACTGGTTTTGGCATCCCCCTTTTTTGAACTTTTCTCATTATCCCCTTTCCCTTTTCTTTGCAGTTGTGTTTGTGGCACTGTTGTGATCATTAATAGTTTAAATCCCGGACATTCCCTATCAGGGCCCCCCACATTATTTTTTCGCTCTAAAATTTTATGAACAGAGTTTTTTTTGTAAAACTTATTCTAATTTTTTTCTTTCCCCAGTTTTCCTAACGGGGTAAACTGGAATTTTTCCCCCATTGTCTTCCGTTTTTAATTTGGGAAAAATTGGTTTTTTAAACTTTTTTGGGGGTTAAAAGGTCCTCAAAAGATTTACAACCG